TAATTGTGATGATAATAACTAAATTTTGATCCCTGAAATTTTTGGTAATACCAATGTTCACTTTGTCTGGTTTTGTTGCAGCATGCCCCAAATATGATTTGATATTAAATATTTTTCCATCTGATATAATATTCGTGTATTTGATTACATTTTGACAATTTTCTGCAATCACTACTTGAGAACTAGCAGTCGTATGACATGACCTGCAGGTTTATTTTCCGGTGATCTACACAATATGAAATTTCGACTTGTGTAATCTATTATTATTATTTTTTTTTTTTTATAAAGGCAATAATCTATTATTATTTTATTATATGCAAGCACTAAATATTAGTATGTTTCAAAAACATACTTTCCATATTTTCCAAGCATAGTGGACATTTGATTTCATTGGCTAAATTTTGTGACAATATCCCTTTCAGATATCATCCAAATATTAAAATTTTACTTGGCTTGAAGATCGTTCGCAAATTTGAAAAACAAATAAATTAGGACCTCGGACAATCATATTTGACATATTTGAACTGGTATTAGTATGTAAGAAAACATATAAAAGTTGTGAAAAATACTCTGAATATCTTACTAAAAATGGCTAGTAAGTTTTTTTTTGGGTCATTTTTTAAAAAACCCAATTTTTTTTATGTAAATGCTTGAAGATCTGACTGGTGTTTTAACATGACTACTACCCACTCCCACTTTTCTCCGAGGTCCTAATAAATTCAATTGAAATAGCATTATAAAAAAATCGACGGTCGATTTTGTCACAAGTGATAAAACGATATTAATACGTATATTCTAAATATAGAAAAAGCTTTCTAAAATATATTTCTGCGCCATCGATCGAATTAATCATTCAAGATATAATTAGTAAGGATATGTATTATTAAATGTTTCACATCTATCATACAATAAAATAGAAATTCAATTTCATGATTTCATGATAAATGTATGGCTTATTAAAAAGCCCAATTAAATTTACTATAAAACCACACCCGCCCCCCGGTAACCTTGAATTTTATGGTGATTTATGGATAGTATAATAAAAAATAATATTTGGAGTTTTTATTTATTCAGAATGGATGAGATTATGAATGCGATGTTCGAAGCTTCGAGAATGAGCATTAGCATAGTTTTCTAAGCTAAAGTGTTCTACATGATGAAGAACTCGAATTTGCTTTTTCATATTATGATCCTTTATTGAAAGTTCCTCTATATTAATATGACCTTCCTAAATCATCTTAATTCTATAGTTGATAATTTTTTTATCGTTATTTGGAATTTGTAACAACAACAATCTCAATAGAAAAACAAAATTTCCTTTAAACAGATTACATAATAATAATAATTAACTAAATCAATGCAGGGGCAGATTTTTAGTATATTAATATATATATATATATTAATATATATATAGATATTATTATCTCGGAAATTAATTTCACGCACAACAGAAAAAAACTTTAATCTGGTTTGGTATATTTCTACCGAAAAAATTTTTTTTTCTTTTCACCATACGGAACTATACTTGCATACGCTTATTAATAGTGTATGAATATATATATGATTAGAATTAATTAATTAATTAACTAAAAAAAATTTTTATTTATAACACGTCTTTAATTAATCAACAAATTATCTTCGGTTTATTTGTCTATACCTGTTTGATTTATTGACTTCCCAGACGATTATAAATAAATAAAAATAAAAATTTGTTATTTTTGTGTAATCCTCGAGAAGAAATGACATGTTAATAATTTTTCTCTCAACAACTGGGTCTTTGGTCCAATAATATGACAAACTTTTGATTTATTAATAATTAAAAATAAATCATATAATTCTTTCATACAAAGCAATGGCGATATATATTATAAATAACGCTAGAAATTTCATTCGACCAAAAAAAAAAATTTTCCTTGTTAGATTATTTTATTATTAAATACACTACCCGGAAAAAAGTATTGGACACCTATTTACATTAATTACCCGAAAACGTACATAATAACTATTCATAAAGTTTATTTCACTTTATAGCTTAAATTTTGAAGAATATTCATGTAAAACTTTAATAAATAAAAAAATACGAATTTCAACCAAAAAAATTTTTTTTTTTCGTCAAAATTAAATCGAAAAGTTGAAGAACAAAAAAAAATTAATATTCAATTGGCCATCCTTCATTAGAAATGCATGCTTCAATCCTTTTTGCATGCTTTCAATGAGTGTATGTAATTTTTCGTAAGGAATTTGCTGCCATTCTTCTTTCAATGCAATTTTCAGTTCAATCGGTTAAGATCAGGTAGTTGAGATGGCAATTCTTTTAATATTTTTACTTTGATTGTTTGTATCCAAATTTGAACACCATTGGCCGTGTGAACTGGTGCATTATCATCTTGAAAAAAATAACCCTTCCCATCAAAATCCCTCTCTATTGATGGTAACAAGTCCTTTTCTAAAATCTGAATATAATCGAAACAAACTACTAAACATAATAGAAAAGTGATGTTTTGTATAAATTTTTTCTGAATTTAAGGTTTAATATAATATAAATTTTATGTATAATAATTATGTGGGTTTTTGAGCACTTTGATAAACAATTTTTTGTTCAAAAAATTTTCAATTGAAGTTTGTATTTTTTTATTTATTAAAGTTTCACGTAAACTGAAAAAATAAAATTTTACGTGAATATTCTTCAGAACCTAAGCTATAAAATGAAATAAAATTTATTTATAGTTAATATGTACGTTTTTGGGTAATTAATATAAATAGGTGACCAAATACTTTTTTCCGGGTAGATATTAATTTAAAATTTAGAATTACTTAAAAAAAAAAAAAAAATAATCAAAATATATAAATACTTTTAGAAAAATATTTTATTATTATATTTTATCTTATTAACCATGTTTGCAATTATTTATGATAGAGTTAAAAGAAAGCATCAAAAATCAAAAACGAATAAAACTATTAAAACATTTTTCGCCAACATAAATTTAAAAAATAATCCAACTTCTTCAACCCCTTCAACTTCACCTTTTTCAAAGACAAATAAAACTATTAAACCATTTTTCATCAACATAAATTTAAAAAAACATCCAAAAACCAAAAAATATTTAAAAAAACTTAACATTATCACAAACAACGACAATAAAAAGACTAATAAAAATGCCGACGATTTGTTAAACACAAAACATGAACAAAAAACAACAGAACGACAATTAAAACTTATAAATCATGCTAAAGAAATTTTAAATAATCACGCTAATTCAGTTTGGCCAAATTTCTACGAGTCGCCAGAAGAACCAGCAAAAAGAACAATGGATGATATCAACGATACCGAATGGATTGGATACGGGAAAGTATCAATGTCACCATATGATACTGCTTGGGTGGCGATGGTTCCTTCCGAAAAATACAAATCAACAAATTTACCAAAAGATTTCGGATTGGCTTTCCCAAAATGTTTAAAATGGTTCATTTATCATCAAGACGATAATGGTAGCTGGGCTGGCAATGGTGCAAAAAGTGTTCTACCTTGTCTCGCTGGTCTACTTGCCCTTGGTCTTTTCTGTTCCCGTTCTGGCGATTATCTCGAAGAAAAATTAAATAATTTAGAGTTGACTTTGTCTCAATTCAACTCGGTTTTCGAAAAGTCTGTAAATTTTCTTAAAATCACGTAAGTTTCCTATTTGTTTCGTATCACGTGGCTCATATAAATTTTTAACTTAATTTATTTTCTCCAACAATTAGTCTAAGTCAATGGAATATTGATGAAATCGATTATGTTGGTTTTGAGCTAACAGTTCCATATATGCTTAACGAATTAGAAAAACTTGAACCCAGCGTGGTATTCGAATTCCCTGATAAAGAAAGAATAATTAAAGAACATTCTAAAAAAATGAATCTGATACCAATTGAAGCATTATTTGCATTGGCAGCAAAACGCAAACCAGCGGCAATAATTCATTCGATTGAAGCTTTTGGCAACAAAATTGATTTTACCAAAGTTCAAAATGAAGGTTTTCAAGCAATAAATGGTAGTTATGGATCTTCAGCTGCTGCTACTGCCTCCGTGCTTGTTAATTCACCAAATTGGGACTCAAAAGCCTATAAATTTCTACAAAAAATTATCGATAGAGCGCCAGAAGAAGGTACGAGTCTTGGTTATGTGCCAACTATTAGTGATGCTGGTATATTTGAAACGTCTTGGATGATGCAATCGATGATCGACTTTGTTTCAAAGGTTACGAGATTCGACAGCAAAAACAACGACAATATTAATAATAACAACACGTCAGATAACGAACTTATTCAAAGCTTACTTGAAAAAAATAAAAAAACTGTTGAGTTTATTAGACATGTTGCCAATTTGCAAAATGACACCATAAGATGGCCATCATGGGATAGCAGAATTCCGCCAGATGTTGATATCACTGTGACATGTCATTGGATAATAGACCAAATATTTCCTGAAACTGAATGCGATTTAAAAAGATTAGTTGCCACATTTTATAATGGAAGAAACTTTGTGACGTATCCCGGAGAAAGAACTGTTTCCATAAGTTCCAATATACATGCAACAAAGTTGCTGCTTGCAAAATATTCAAGAGGTAAATTCAACAGTGACGAAGACGATTACATTGTTACAATGCCAACAAAAACTGAGGCTGGTAAAAAAATAAAAATACGAAATGTGATATCTACTGTTATACAATTGATTATGGTCAATAGAAGTGAAAAAGCTAATTGGTCAGATAAATGGCATGCAAGCCAATCATACCCAACTTTCAAAGCCAACAACATGTTACTATCATTATTATCGTATCCTGAAATAATGGAGGATTCCATGTTAAATAAAGATAACTTACTTGAATATTGCGCGAAAACAGTTAATTGGTGTCTAGAAACTCAGCATAGTGACGGTAGTTGGGGATTTGCTTCGGAAATTGGTATGGGATCATTGGAAGAAACAAGTTATTGTATTAGATTGTTAGATTATTCCAGCAAATTTTATCCCGATAATTTGGAAATTCCCAAAGCATTGAAGCAAGCTAGACAATTCGTTGTCAGGCATTTGGATGAAGCTATGAATGACGATGAATTTTTCTATCAGAAACAACCACTATTATGGATTGGCAAACAACTTTATTCAGTACCCAATGTAATAAGATCTTCTATATTAGTTTCATTATGGGAAGATCAATAATTGATTATATTTTTCATTTAAAATTTATTCGGAAAAATTTTTTTTATTTTCATTTCAAATCATTAACAATTTAAATTAATATATTCATACATAATATAATATCTCATATGGGGGGTTTTCTAGGAAAAACCGGGTATAAGTCTTTTTTTCCAAAATTGACTTTTTTACATAACATCAATCAGTAACATTGGAACTATAACTGGAAAAATTTTCAAACCATGTTTACTTAATAAAAAAATGAGTAATTGGGCAACGAATAATTTTTTAAATTAATTTGCATAAAATTTAAAATTGATCTACTACCCCAATATTTTATTAGTTACACCAAATTCAGTTAATATTAGTATTAATAATTTATTCAAAATACATGATAAATATTAGTGATAATAAAATTTAATTAGGGTTTGGACAGAGAATATCTTTATATGGATTATCTACATGCTGACGAATGTTTTTAAATAAATATTTTTTTCGGTCTTCTGATAAAGGAACAACTTCAAGAAAATTTAATTGTGTATTTTTATCAAAATTTGTATTCTTCAAAAGATTATAAGAATATTCTTCTCCACCAGATTTTTTTGAAAAATAAACTATTCCAATATTATTTGGCAAACTACTAAAGCGAAAATGATGTTGCTTTTTTATATTTGGTAAAGTTCTAAAATGATCTTTTAACATGGAATTAAAATCTTTCCATTTCCAACCTATCCCATTATTATATCTAATAGATTCATTATGTATAGATGATTTGTTTATAACCATCTCAACATCATCAACAGTATTTATACAACTGTCCTTGTATGCTTTTTTAATTAATCCAAATTCTGCATCACAAATGAATTTTGTGTGTCCAGGTATCATGAAATTTATATAAATATTTTCATACCAACCCAACATTGCTAACCAGGACCAGAACCAAAGTGACAAATTGTTTTTGTTCTGCCCAGGACAATTGTCACATGTAACATAAAGATTTTTTTTACCAACATGACCAATCTTTTGGAGAAAATCAAAAACCATATTCAAGGTTGTGTTAGCCCCCTTTTTTGATATCCCTTCTGGTAATTCATTTTCTCCTATAGTATAATTTGATTGAATATTTTTACCATCATCTGTCTTGCATATACCAAAAAGATGTATGATAAAAGGGGATTTGAAATAGATTGATCCAACTTGTTGAGAAGAAAATGGAGCTGCAACACTTTGGGCCCAATCATAACAAATATGTGTTATTGTTGAATCATTTTTGCTTTTTTCAATTATGTTGTTATAATGACTTCTTTCCTGTTCTGCATCTGTTTTGTGATTTTTGTATTCAAATTTAAGATTTTCCTTTTCATCATCATCATTTGTAAATTTTATATCTCTTTTAAGTGCTTCACAAGTATCACAAAGATCACTTCCAGATGTTTGGAATTTAATGTATGGTGTTAATTGTTGCCATAGTTTGTAAAATGTATTATATGCAATAGGCCTAATAGATTCATATTCTGAATTAAATAAAATTTTAAATTCTTCATATACTGTAGTATATTTCATATAAGTTGGCAAATAGATTATTGCCTCTAATTCATCTCTCATTTTCATAGGAGATGGTAATCCATGTAAATTTGAATATTGCAATAAAAAATTCTTAACTAATTGTGCCATTCCAAGATTAACAATTACACGTGATTTATTTTGAGGAATTTTATTAGTATTACCATGAATACGATCCATCAAACCATCTAACTTAAAATGATTTTGCAAAGCTAATAATTTGTCTTTACTAATACCACATAGTTTTAAAAAAACTGGTTGACAAATGGGTATTGATGAATTATACTGATAATTGTAATTATATTTATTTGTTTTGTCATTTTGATCCTGTAATTTAAAAACCATCAATTGTGTTTTAATACAAAGATCTAGTTCATGTTTTTCTAATCCTTTTAATTGAAATTGTCTTTCTAAAAAATTTTTAAATCCAATTTTTTTAAAACATATCCTATTTATTTGTTTACGACAGCTGCAGTTTGATTCTTCTTCAAAAAATAATTTCAAATTTTGGACTGCATTAAGTACCAATTCATTTGGCTCATATGTTTCTAATCCTAAATCACTTGGGAAAATTAAATTTTCTGATGATAATTCCATGTCATCTTCTAAATTTGTAATTTCTAAATTTAAATTAGATATGAGATCACCATAAATTAAAATTAAATCTTCAGATGATTCAAAATTTGAAGACATGTTGTAGTTAAACAATTGTTTTTTGATAAATAAGGATTAAGTTTTTATTTCTGATGTTTTATGTTAGATGTTTTATTTTTTTAAAAAAATTATTTGTAAGAAATTTTCACACTATTTATAAAATAAATTAAAACAAATAATAATTTTTGCCTTAAAATTCGGCCATTTCACCAAATTTATTTTTAATAAATTTTGTCTTACCAAAATGAAAACTCGGCCATTTCACCAAAATTTATTTTTAATTTTTGTCGGCTATTTCGCCAAAATTTATTTTCAAATTTTGGGGTTCAAAACGATCAATTTCCGTGTAACAAATTTTCAGGAGTTATTTTCTCAAAAAAGCTCACTATACTTATACACGGTTTTTGCTAGAAAACCCCCCATATTTATATGGGTGGGTGTTTAGACATTAAATTCTGATTGGCTAATTTGAATTTCACATGTGATTGCAAATTCACAATCATTTTCACGCAAACATCACCCAATCTTGTTTCAAGAGAAAACTTACTTTAAGAGTTTTGAGTCACAGCATTGATCCATCTCAGTTACAGTACGTAACCAAAAAAAGACAATCCGTATAAAATGTATGAAAATTAGTTCGTTTGATATGTTGAAAGCAGAACTTTATTAAATGAGCTTAATATGAAAAACTTTCACCATTGCTTTTGATTACACGCTGACATTCCGACTTTGATCAAATTAAAATAAATCGAGAATTAGGCCCACTTTTCGATGACAAATTGTCCCAAGCATTTAACTTCCATTCCAATTATTTGATAAAAGAAAAACTGGTGATTGTGGAATATCACATGATTTCAATGTAATTTCATCATTGACTCGTTCACTCTATAAGCCATATCACCTGTTCCCTTCAACTTTATTGGTATTGAAATAGAATTTGAGATGAGAATACTTTATAATTTGGTGTGAATGAATATATGTTTCTAATAATGAATTACAAAAAAAAAAATACATTTTAAAAGCAAATTACTCAGAAACCAAATGTCGAATTTGATTGTAAAAGGCAAAGTTTTGTTTTTAAATTTATTTGTGACGATTCTAATAAGAAAATTTCTTAGCAAACACGTAGTGTATATACACGTGTCACGTGCATTACATAATAAAATTTGCATCAATAAAAAAAATTAACTTTTTTTTAGTGTTTTGCTTGAGGGTTTGGGACACCCTGAAACACATAACATTTCATTTTGCATCTTACATATGATTCGTATGTGCGTATATATAACACGAGACAAGGTTGATTTGTGAAAATGATGGGATGATCTGATATGATAAAATAAAGTGATGGTTAGAGATTGTGTGGCTGGCACTTGTTCAACTTCCCAAAAATGGGCCAAAAAAGGTTGTTTGGATCAAATGATGGGATGATCCAATGTGATTGTGAACCATTATTATGTAAAATAATGTGCAATTTAATACCGTGTTTACACACGTAGTGTACAAATAGAAACTGCCTTCTAATAAAATTATATCCGAAAAACGGGGTTTTGTCTATTTGCCATATTTTTGTATTTAAGATAATCAATTAGCAAGTTTTATTTATTTATGTAATTACACTAATGGCCATACCATATATATATGATTTATATATAAAATAAAATAAAAAATACTATGCGTCAATTTATCATGTTATTATTTGAATTGTTTGTAAATAATTGAGACATGTATTATAATGAAGATTTTGCTATACCACAATTATAAAAGATCTTTTTCTTCGTTTATTTCTTTCGTTGATACTTTTGTTGTATAATAGCTCTTATTATAATACAATATTTGAAATTTCCTACCTCAAAAATGATTTGACGATAGGTAATCTAGATAATTATTTGAGATAACTTGAAGTTTGAAGCATATATATTTGGAGATTGTTAATATATAAAAATAATATTGGCTCAACATATAAAAATAAGAATTTTTTGAAGTTACTCTCGAATCATTCTCTTCAAAAAAAGATAGCCAACTCACAAAGATAACCGAATCCCTAAGATAGTAATTTTCCCCTAGCTCATGATGTATCAATCTTGCCATGGTGATAGTATCATCTCTTCCTTCAAAAAAATGTTGTAGCGCTCATCTAAACAATCTTTGCAAATACAAACCAACTTTTTCCGGTCTATAGTTTCTTTGTCTTGTTTGAGGAATAATCAGTAAATATCGGCTAGAACTAGCTCATTTTCTTCCATATCTAGCTTTGATAAAATTTGTAGATCGAGCTTCTTTCCCAAATTCATAGACTCCATCCATGTTTTTCTAATATGTGATGATTTGCTTGTTTGCTCAAATCTACAAGCATGAGTACATTGTAACATGATATAAAAAATTGAGAAAATATGTTACCATGCACGCTTGAGCAGCCACTTAGAATATGCAAAGATAGGGTCCAAAACCTTGGATACCGAGTGGATTATATAAGCATTCTCATTATAGTCATCTTCTGTCTACAACTCCAAATAAAAGTGCCTGGTAATGTTATTAAATAATGCATAACACTATCTAATGTAATATTAACATTATCACTTACAAACCTTCTAAATAAATAAAAAACTGTTATTAGGATGTGCCTAGACTCGAGAGTCATTTCCCCCATGGAAAACTTATTGGTCATATAAATAGTGTATCAATTCATCAATCCTATCTGTTTAGGGAGTTCATCATCATGGAATGAACGGCGCATCAAAATCTGTTTAGTTTCCAACGACAGTAAATTTGCTAGTGGATCTTCACTTTCTGTGAGATTAACTGTGCCTGATGCTATGGAACTTTTGGTTCGATTGGTCCTAAGTCTAGCTGTAGTAAATGATGAACAACTTCATTCTGAGCATCCATCTTGTATCTTAACTTTTTAAAAAAATAGTAATCCTTCAATTGCTTACATTACCTATTGGATTGCGTCTATATCTTGATATTGTTCTACTATTTGTCACTGAAATGAAAATTGCTTCTGGTTATTTTTTGTAATAAATCATTTAAATTTAAGGATTTCGAAGTTAAAACTTCAGACCTTTTCTTTTTCTCTATTCAGAGCATCCATGAGATGAGTGAACCCATGCTGGATGATAAATTTCCTGCACTGCTTACGGTGCCAGCATTCTGCAAGCCAAAAATTTTGTCGCGCACACCTGGGTAGAGATAGCAACATGGGCTTATTTCTACCATTCTCTTTGTATCTTTGAAAGGAATACAAGCAATCATTTTTTATTGGATATTTTAGATGTGGGTTTGAATTGCGACAAAATCTCCTAGTTTTCATTTACTTTTTGAATGATTTATCATCTCACATGTAGTTATAGCTTCCTGGAATTCTCGATGGTATTGTGCCTCCGTCACATTAATGTTATTCCTTTAACACTTGGAAAATAAACATTCGGAAACAATTCTGAGATATAATTCATGGTGTGGTTTATTGCTATTGCGATAAAAGTAATTTTCAATATTATCAGACATTTTTTGAGATGTAATAGCTGTTAATTCGAATTGTGAAATCAGTGACAAAAGCAACAAATAACCATAAATTTGAAATATTGCTCTTTTTAAACGTTTTTTCTCCATGTCTAAATCTAAAGGACGAATTATGCAAAGAGATAAAGTAGCCTTTATGCCAAAGAATTTCTCACAAAGAACATTAATCATTTTAGTCTTCTGATCAAACAAACCTTTTTAGATAGAATAATTCAACATCTTATGGCCTTTCATCTGATCCAAGATGTTTTCCAATTAAATTTGTGCTGAACATTGAGTAATATCAAATTAATCAAAATAGACCTTGAAAATTCTCTTCCCTGAATCCTTTCACATTTGATCTATGATATTTCAATATTTAAATCAAAATAAAATTGTCTTGAACCAGTAAATCATCAATCGATATTCATATATTCATACAAATATCTATACCTTTTGTAAAATGCCTCTTGAACCTATTACTTGCGAATATCAATTTACCCAAATAAATAATAATAATAAATTATTCCCTTGACATACACCCGTTTTGGATCTCCATTAGGGGTGTAGATATAGTAAAACCATCTTCAATTGGTATCTCCATTAGAAGTATAGGTGATAGCCACCAAAATGTAGAGTGGAACCTACTCAATGTTCCTTTAGTATAATCACATTAATTATTTTGTGGCGCCATATTTATCTTTCTAAAAAACCAAAAGGAAAAGAAATATAGATAATCTACTTATTTTACCTTAGAGAAAAAGTCCAAATGTAAAAAGATTTTATTTTATTTTTCCAAAGATTTTCAGGAAATTGTTCACTTTCATTCTGCTTCCTTTTCTTAATGTTTATTGTTTTTCATTCTTAATAAATTTCATAAGTAATTTTTTCGTTCATTAGATAACTTTCTAACCTCAGAATATCGATTAATTTAAAAACATAAGGTGCAATTTTCTTACCTTGTTATTTCTTCAAATAATGCTGTGCCTTGGTGTAATATGCTTCACTTTTATACATTTCTGCTAATTCGAGCAATAAGATATTCTATCGTATATACAATAGTTTTGCTTCTACATTATTTAAAAGATTTTTTTTATAAATAATCAGTTGTCTAGGTTATTTCAATTTTTTAGCATCATCATCACTTAAATACACAACAAACGTTTATAAAAACAAAAATTTTTGTCGCACAGGGGAAATCTGTAGATTTCCAGATGCTTACATTAGCACATACACTTTGTTAATAAATCCCAAATTTAATATTTATTTAATGTCAAGTATCTCTATACAACACTTTTATACCAATTTCTTTTTATATTATATTATCAAGACAGTCATGTCACAGTAGCTACTGCACAGCTACCACTTCTGCACACAAACCAGAATTCTAATGATGTAATTTATCGAGTCAAAACTCGCCATGCCTAGATCTAATAATTGCTGTGATTTTAGAAGATGGTTATAAAGAAACATGCACAAAACTGTCTAGAAGAAAATGAGCAACCACTCGCAATGAAAAGTGTATACAAAGCACCCGGTCACGTTGGTTCGCGAACACAGGCTATGAAAAAAGATTACCGGTTACAATATAATTCGCGATGTTATTAGTTATACTTGTAATAGATCTTGTTAAACCCCCCCCCTGAAAACTTCTTACGATCTTCATCAAAAATTATAGTGCTAAACGAGTTATTTGCAAATGTGGTAAAACTATTTCTTTAATATAATAACTTATTAATAATTTTTTTTTAGCAACTAATCTTGGCTTGCAAATATTTCTGATATTCACCCATCATGCAAGAATGAATTTTTATTAATAATATCTTGTGTTTGGGAAAAATTATTGCATTTTATGAAAAACGTGGACAAAGACATGAAATGGGTTGAAAAGCCTGCAGGACTTTATCATATATTTCTATTAAAGTTTATATTCCAGTATCTCAAACGATATTTTTCACGTGAAAACATAACAGGAGGTAACATTATAATTCATATTACATCACAAGATATAGTTATTTTCTGGTGGGCATGCTCATATTCGAATGTGAATTCTAATTTGATTTTAGTAGATAATGATATGTTTTTTTACAATTATTTTAGTACGCCAAATACACAATAGTCTGCTTAAAAAAAATTTGCATGTCACATGCCATATTGATTCGCATCATTGATAAATTGTTAAATGTTACCATCAAATTGGTTCATAAAAAAGCAATATTCGCGTTAATATGATCAGATGCTTGATTTGGAGACGACCATTCAATGGAGTTTCCCCGGTCCTATGAGTACCGGGAGTACCGGGAGTACTCAGATCATACATTTATGGAAGATCCATCCGCACTCGTGAGTACTTGTGAGTACTCATTGAACACTCAAGTTTTACAAGAAAATATTGACCTATCATATTTTAGGCATTTTATTTTATCTACAAAACGCGATTAAAATGAAAATTGTTCATTTTATTTACCTTGGTGAATATTGATTTTATTTATTTCTCGGTTTCTTAGTTATATTAAGAAAGAAAGCCGAGAACAGAGTCTTGTTTATTATTTAATTTGTATAACGAATTATTAATTTTCATAGTTAATTTTCATGTCAACTAAAAAAACACATTCCAGTTTTAATAATATGAAAATAAAATAACTGAATAGTAAATAATAAATAATAAATAATAAATAATAAAAATCAAAAATCAAAAATTAGAGTATACCAACTTTTCACATTTCAGCGAATTTTATATCTGAAGCCAAAATCCATTGTAACATGATAATTCGTTGAAGCTGTAATAATGTTATAAATAAACATAGCTAATATTTCAAAAATCCATTCGAAATTAATTTAGAAATGGTTATTAGTATTAGGAAAACAACGGATATTATGATTATTACTTTGTATTACAACGAAAATTTTTTGCTTCACATATAAAAAATTTGTTGAATCACGACAAGTAAAATTTTTGGTATAAAAATGATAATAATAATGAGTATTCTCATAGTAATAGATGTATTGAAACGAGACTTGTTATTTTTTTTTTCATACAATATTAAGTGTTCGTCATAGATTACTCATTACTCATGACTACCGTGAGTATCCAGATGTACTCATGAGTATCCAGATACTCATACAGGTCACTCACGAGCACAACACTATATGAATTTATATACCAACCGTTTAAGGGATAGTTGTTTGCCGAAATTGTTTTTCGAGAAAAATATGTAAAACTATTTCGTCATTTCGGATTCGGCAAATTACAGCAAAAATCTAGATGTTATTAAGGATAACCAGCTACAATTTTTGACAATGGTTGAAATTGGCTTGCCAGCCAAAATTATTTTTGGAAAAACCTAATTTCAGCAAACGGTTCCAGATTTACATATTTTTCATATTAACGGACATAAAAACTAAACACCCGGAATTTTGACTATAGAGTTAATATTAAAGAACTATTTCAGCATTTCAGATTTGACAAGGATCACTAAGAGAGAGACAATTTGACTAACAAGCTTAGTTGCTATTTTATAGATGTTAATGATTTTTTTCCAAATTAAACAAGTGAATTTTTGTTGCAATAATTTTTCCTTGACTTGAAAATTTTTTAACAAATAGATAAAAAATAAATAGATGTCATTTTACTTTATACGAAACAACACTTTGTTAATTTAATTCATATAAATAAATATTTATTGTTTGAAATGACTCATTTGATTAAATTGGTAAAGAAATATTATATACAATTGCACAAATACTGGTTCTATTAAATTATTGTATTAAATTATTATTATTATTATTAATTATTAATTATTAATTATTATTAGTCGTATTATCCTATTATATATTATTATTCCTTTACCTTATAAAAGCAAAATAAAATCTAAAAGATCAAAAACAACAAATGTAAATATATAATTAAGTTTATAATATTATATATTCTTTTTCTTTCATTTTTAAAATAATATACAAATAAACATTTATGTATATATAAGGAAATAAAAAATAAATTTAGAAATTTCCATAATAAAAATAAAAGAACAAATCTATCTCTTTCTTATTGCTCTGAAACGAATACAATCATCTTGAGGACCACGTTGAGCAACTGGCATGACTACAGGTTGATGGGTGAAACTAGATGACATGGTGCACATTCTATATAGACCGGGAGCAGGTAAACTTACAACTTGTGTTAAAGCTCCACCCTCAGCAGGCAAGTTCAAACCCTTGAAGAAAGCGAAAACTGTTGCATCTGGAACGTTATTACCATTAAGTTTTTGGATGCTGATGTGACTGTGTCCAAGGATTACACCCTTATTATTAAGTTGTTGTGGACGATCATAATAATCATCTACGGGATCACTGAATTGACCGGTTGCCAAGTTTTTAACTTTGACTACAGCTGTAAAGTTCTTTCCTGCTATGACTGTTCCTGCGTTTTTAGGGAAGACGATAATGGTTGAGGTCATCTTCGAAACATTTGGGACTTCACCTTGGATCTGAGATGAACAAAAACCTGTTCTTATTTGTGTACCATTAGATTCTCTTAAACCTAATTTTTTTAATTCACCCTTTTCTTTACAAAGTCCAGAAGGTCCTGGTGTTCTAAATGCATTGGGTTTAGGATCAGCAAGGACTGATGATGACAAGCTTACAAGAGCGGTGGCGACGACGATTAAAGTTTTAAGAAGTTGCATATTGACAGATTAATATTTATATATGGAATATATATGTTGTGAAAAATTATCTTTACTTGGAGAAAAAATAAAGTATAATAAACGAAAGTGTAAATAAAAAGTGGTATGGTGATTTATATGTGGGTGGGTGCGAGTGAGAACGATGAGAGGAGATGTGTATAAGGAAGTAATTATTTTTTATTTTTTAATGAAAGAATGACAAAAGATTTTCACTATTGGGGAAATTTTTATCATTTATATAGATGATGAATTAATATAGAGGTTAATAATATACAGTTATTGTTATTGTTAAATACAAATACTAATTTATTGGTGGCAAACAAATAAAACGAAATAGAAATTTTTAATGTGCCACCAACGTCGTTGTACACTATCAATTTAAATCAAGTACTTTTATTTGCTCGTTAAAGGAATAAATAATCACTATGATTACTATGATGATGATGAAAATTAAATTAATAAAAATATCGATAATTTGAAACTTTGAATCTTCTGTTCATTTATTTAATTTGATTTTTTTTTTTTTTTTTGCTTGTGATTTTAGCATGTTTAATATTTGTAATGTTAATAACTCGGATTCTTTGAGGAATTCCAAGCCCGGACATACAAACGAATTTATTATTTCTGGCAGATAGATGAACATAATTGATTTTCAACCTTCGAATTGGGAATTTCGAACCCAAGCATTTTTTCATTAGAAAGGAAATTAATCTATTAAATTTAAATTAATTTTCTTAATTAGTAAAATTAGTGTTACTACTGTATATTTAGACATATGGTTTATAATTAGATAAAGGAAATTGTTATTTTTAATAGTAAAATAAAAATAAATTGTGATACCAAAAGAATTAGCATCATCATCATCACATCATCATCATTACATAATTAAAAGGAATAATGGGGGAACTTTGCCATTTATTTATTATTATTATTTCTTTCTTCTTAATTAAACCAATCTTTTTTTGATAAATTATATCAATTATCGGCTGATTTCTTTATCTCAAGATCTTCGCAATTTAAAATTAATGAATTGGTGATTTATGGATATTCCAATTAATTAAATTTCGATTTAAATAAAACTTTATTTTTCAATGCAATTTTTTTATGGAAGGAAAAATACTTGGAATTTCATTTAACTTTAGAGATTATTCGTCTCGATGTAAATTATGCGCACAGTATAATGAATGCTACATTACGATTGATGCAATAGTTAATTAAATTCATTAAGATTAAAATTAAAATAACCATCATGGCTATCAAATAATTTAAATTTATTATTTTTTCCACCAAGAATTGCTTGTAATGGATGTTTCACCTTATTGCCATTACTACTCCGTTCTTTGATAAATTTGGTAAAAATTTATTTTGTTGTCAATTGAGGCAAACAAAATAAAACAAATATATAACCTTTGTTCCTTTGTTGATAAATTAATATTCCATTTTAGAAAATTCTAAAAAAAAATATTAAAAATTCCTTTGGTAAAACTTTGTTGATTGATTACACAGCATACACATTTCAAAAGTTGATTAGTGCTAGCTCAATTTTTAATTTTTGCACAAAATTAATGGCTCGATTATAATTATAATAATAACAATTATTATTATTTATTATTATTATTATTATTTTACTATTATTGTAACAAACATTTTCTTTGTATATTTTCGTTTGATCAATTTATGTCTTTTTTTTTTTGAACTTTGGTTTAATTATGTTTGCCATTGTTGGACCATTACCGTTATCGTTGTTATAATTGATATTGTTGTTATCATTATTGTTGATGTTGTCACCATTGATTGCCGTTATTTCTTGATTTTTTGAAAAATTTTACTATAATTTGGAAAAATATATTCTGGTGCAAGTTCCACCAACTTATTATTATAATTATCGTAATAAATGGTATTCTGGTCAAAATCTGCTAGTATAATGTATTATTTTTTTATTATTAGGCTTGATATCTTTGTGGATTGTGTCGTGACTCATTATAAATTTTAAAATATTAATAAGTCGGTAACCCAAAATTATAGCTCTTGAATTGTCGAAAACATCATTATTATTATTAAATGATTTTTTTTTTTCGGTTATATCATCATATGATATGTGTTTCCATTTAAGTAACAAAAAATTAAGTATGCTAGATATGTTTCCATAAATAGAGATAAATTGTATCACTCTTTTTTTCCGATTTTTTTTTTTTATTATATTAATATAAAATTTGAGTTATATGGGAAATATTTGACCTCCTAAAAAGGTATTTCTGTTATAACACTGTTTGTCCTGCTAGCTATTATAGTCTCTTTCGGTTTTTTGGGAAAGTCCTTATAAGGTTGAGAAAGTAAAAAGTAAATGGATCTAAAAGTAGAATTTTTACCAAAAAAAAATTTAATTAAAATGTATGACAAATTTAAATATCATTTAGAATAATTACAAACAGAAATTTCCTTCATCTGCAGGGAAGCATCAAATATAAATGAACTGGTTCTTTTAACTTAAAATCATGCTTGAAACTCTAGTCATCGCAGGCGGTACACTCTTTGAGTTGTTATAATTGTTATCTCAGGCATACTCCACCACTAATCAATCTTCCTTTCCTTCCTGGTGGGTTGAAAAAAAGATATAAATTTAAATAGCACCTCTTTTCTAAATTCTCGAAATGTATACTAATGTAAGGAAATTACACTTTTCCTTATCTGGTAAAAACAGGAAGATGTAATTAAATTCAATGTTTTATAGGGAGATCAGCATTATTACGAATTAGTGGATTACGTCATGTCATCAGTCATTTTATTTCCAAATATATATACCAATACTGCCTTTTTTAACAATTAATTCCCGTAAATTAAAAAAATTTATTTATTATGCAAATGGCGAGAACATTTATACAGGCACTTACTTCATATGGCAGAGTGGGCGATAAAAATGAACTATTAATAAGACACATGTTACAGTCGTTGCAGAATACTTGGTTGGTGTCTGGCAATACAACATGTGACTTTGACATCATAAACTCTTTTAAATTTGCAAAACAGTTTCGAAAGATAATCTACTTTAAGCCTAAATCCAAAATCCAAGCCTCTATATACCCTTAAATCTAAACCACAGCTAGTTTCAGGTATTTTCGGTTTAAACCATGTGTTTCAAGTCACACCATTTGTTTGAGCCAGGATAAATCTACGTGGCAACAAGCAGCGCTTCTTCTCGGTATTTTTTTGTTTGATTTTAATTGCTTGAATGTGGTGGATAGAGAGAGATTTATTAAAAGAAATAAACTAATGTTCCTTCGTAAACGTGTTGATTATACATGATCAACATAATTTTTGAAACATTGCAAATAAAATATACTATTTTCATATCACTACTACTCCTCTATTTTCAAAGATGAAAAGGATATGGATGGTGTGTAGTATAAATCTATGGCGAAAGCATTGAAAAAATGAAATATATAGGATCAAGCTCTAAACCACACACCATCCATATCCTTTCCATTTTTGAAAATAGAGGTGGAGAAGTGATCTGAAAGCAGTACGTTTTCTAAGTCACAAAAAAAAATATTTTTTTTACCAAACTGTTGAATTGAGATTTTCTTAATGTAATAATAAAATATCATTATATGAAATTCTGAATAATTTTTTTCTTTATAAATAAACTTCTATGCAATTCAACTTGATTTTAATATTAAGTTAAAATTCATTCTCGTAACATTCAATTGAATTCAAAAAATCATGTATATTTTATTTTTTATTTTATTTTTTTATTTTTTTAAATATTAACAAAAAAAATAAAAATTTAAATAAATATAATTTTTCCAATTCCGAACAATCAAATTTTAGCTAATCTTACAAAACAAATACTAAAGAAACGATAACAACCGAAAGAGCAGTCATAAGTCCAGTAGTATACACAGTTTTTCTTGATCCACCGTTGAAATTGTCTTCTGAATATTGTTCTTGGTTTCCCCCGTCTCCTGGTTTTTTAACTACAACAACATTGACATCAGTAACATAAGATGGATTCTTTTCAACTACTGTTCGAGTTGATACGTCGACACTTGAGGTAGCATCACTGTCGTTATTATCATCGACGGCGGGTTGGTCTTGTGGTTGTGGCTGATCTGGTTGTGGTTGTGGTTGTGGTTGTGGTTGATCTGGTTGTGGTGAAGGTGGAGGTGGAGGTGGAGCAACGGGTGTAGGTGATGTGGAGGCTGGTGGAGGTGGAGGTGGAACAACGGGTGTAGATGATGTGGAGGCTGGTGAAGGTGGAGATGGAGCAGCGGGTGCTAGTGGAGTTGGTGTAACGGATGTAGATGATGTGGAGGCTGGTACTAATGGAGTTGGTGTAACGGACGTAGATAATTTGGAGGTAGATGCTGCTAGAGTGCTAGTAGACTTGGATTTAGGAAGCTTTCCGGTACTGCTGCTAATAATAGTAGTACTAGTGTTAATTACTGCAATTTGTGTGGATGTTCCTGTGGTGTTGACAGCAGGAGTAGGAGTTAAAGCAGAAGTGGAAGTTCTAATTGGAACAGGAGCATTTTTATTAGGTTTTTTTTTTCCTTTAGCTGGAGTAGTAACGGCAGTGGTGGTGGTGGCGGTGGGGACTGGAGTCGCAGCGGTGGGATTTTGAGCTTTTGGACTATTAGGTTTTATGGCAGTTTCAGTAACTTTTGGAACTTTTTTATTGTCAATAGTTGTGGCTGTCTCTGTGGCATTTAGTGATGTTGATAAGCTATCTGTTGTTGTATCTGGTACTGCTTGTTTAATCGCTGCTGCATCAATTGAAACTGTCGAGCCCAATAATAAAATTAATAATTGACAAAAAATTGTCACAATTACTAATTTTCTGGTTGCCATTTGTTAAATCAAAAAAATTAATATAATAATAACAATAATATATTTTCTTTTTCTAATTAATCTATCTATAATGTAAATGATGGAAAGTAATAACGGAATGAATGACGAGGGTTGGTGGTTAATTAATTAGTTAATTAATATTAAAAAAAAAAAAAAAAAAATAGGGAAGCCAAGGAATTCGAAAATGAATGTGAGAGAGGATTATTGAAAAATGAATTATGAGAGAGAAAAAGAGAAATTAATGAGGTTTAACTTATTAATGATGATGTTTATATTTTATTTATAGGTTTTGAAGTATTAAATGCATAATAATAAGTTTTTGTTTACAGTGCATTTTTATGAACTAATTACAGCAAAAATGAATTTCGCTTGGCATATTTATTTATAAATAAAAATAAAAATTTATTTTATTCGTTTCTTCAAAAAGATAATTTACTCTTTAAATTTGGAATGTACCAACAAAACTAGATATGCATCGTTGAATGGAAGTCGGGGATGATTATAACAGTTGGTAAATATTTAAATATTGAAACTTTTTTGTATAAATATAATTCTCCAAATAAATCATTATTTTGTTATAAACTTATTGAAGAAATATGATATCGCCAACGGTGGGTGATATAATTGAGTATTGTTTAGTGATATACTACTATCTTCATGAGGATGATCGAAAAATTAAAGTTTGTTATTTTAACAGGAGAGGAATACATGAAAAATCTGTTGTCAGACAATGATAGAAAGAGAACCCTTAGAAATCTTTTTTTGGCGCTAAACTTATTTATCAAAAATGAGTTTCAATCAATGGGAAAAAATGGTCAGAATCTAACCACTCTCGGCCTGACACTGTATACAATTGAGAATATCAAAAGTAATGTTTCCTTGACTGAAAAAAATCGAATTCACCAATTTTCTATCCTTGGTGGATTTTCCTGGATTTACACATATTTACCCAGAGAAAAAAAAATCGAGATAAGCTGATAATTCTAGTTCTAACGTTGAATCCGAATAAAAGTCTTCTTTCTAAGGAAAAGCTGATGCTTGTGTAGGATTTGCTGTTTGATTTATTACTTCCTTGCATAATATTTTAATAAGAAAAGTTAGGAAAATAAGGCAAAAAAATAAGATATATGAGATAAGTCCTGTATAAACAATTTATGCCATTTTTTACATCCTCTATTAACAAATATCAGATGTTTTGACTTCCAGTTTGACGATGATAATAAATATTTCCCTATAAAGAACAAAATTTTTTATAGCAATTATTCTAATTAATGAAATTAAAGCAAATTATTATTATCGTATCAAGCAGATTAGATTAATTCGATGAATAGCCACTCACTCACTATCAATGAAAAATGACTTTTGAAATTAGAAGAGGCTCGTGAACGCAAAATACGTGCAATATTATTGTTCTTTTGTTTGGCTAAGCACAACTTAAAACATCCAGATTTGACTTTGCATGCAAACAAACAAACACCAAAATTAATCACAAGGACCATTTCATAATCCGAACCTGTATTTGATGAACGCAGCAGTTGTAGCTGGTCGATTCATTTTCGCATTAAAAAAAATCAAACTATCAGTAAATTTAACAAAAATAATTATCTGTACAAGTGGGATTATTAGCTGAACTTCATAGGCTTTTTTGCTCCATTATAAATCTTACAAGAACCAGCTCTATAATATAAACCACCTGAAATCAAGCATGAGTCAAGTAAAAACTCATTAAAATCTCTGATGATTTTTGAAAGATTTTAAAATGTTTTATTTGATGAAAAAAAAAAGGCTAAGCAGGACTCGGTTTTTTCATTTAATAAAATGGTAAATTCATGGGTTTCTTGGAGAATCGATTACTGTTTTTACTATAAAAAACTTTCATTGACAAAGAGACCAATCCTAAAAAAAACCAATCTGGAATTGTTAATAATGAATAAGGCAGTGGTCTTAACATTGGAATGTTCCAATGTAGATCTTGATAAATGAAATTTATTTGTACGACATTTTAATCAAATGTATTGGAACAACTTGAAACGTTACACGATTTGCCAATAAACAAATATTATAAAAGAATTCAATCAACATTTTGGAACGGATAAAAAGGAATTATTGTGAAATTTCGATGGTGATTAACAAGTACAGTAACATACACACTGGACATGAGTCTAACCGATTGGCTATCGTAAAGCAATTGAAATAATTTGATACGTATCAGGATTGTGTAATGTCATATTGGAACCATAAACAACTGTCTCCAAGTCATCCCAAAATTAATATAAATAAATACTTTGATTCAGGTAATTTAGTTTTGACATGTTTATAACAAGATTACACAACTTGCAGTGAACTAGTCCTAAATCCTTCCACGAAAAACAAACAAGGATTGTAACAACGAAATAAGAAATTTTTTTTAGAAAAACGTAAGGGTAAGAAATTTACAAAATAATTACCAAAACAAAAAAGAAAAACTCCCAATTCAATTCTAGTCTCTTCGCATATTAAAAGGTTCATAACAATTGACTTTTTGGAAATTACTGGAAGATCCTCAAGTGTAACTTAACAACTCCCACGTATATCGAAGGACGATACAAAAAGAAAAATGTTATTTTGAGCTAATTATTTTACATATTTTATCGAACAATTTTTTTGCAGACCTTTTTTTTAATAGTAAAATGCACAACTTTATATGGAAATAATTCTTAATATACTTTCAGATTCCTCTCGTGGTGTTCTTTAAATGTACAGAAAGCTTTTTACATTCTTATTTGCATTTATAATACAGTGTTTACTTTCCCAAACATTGACACATGAACTTCACATTCAATATCCATTATTTTATCATAAGTTGCAGATTTGTATTCACATGATGAACAGTACATTCCAATTTTAGACGGTGATTCTTGAACTGAAATCATCATTCAATTGTAGATGTGTTCCAGCCAAGGTTGGGTGACGAAAATATTTTGTCCAACAGGACACGTGATGAAATGTGACAAAGGGCAAAAGTCAAAAAGCCTTTGGTCAGTTAGAACAGTGCTTTCATAAAAGTTTGTCAAATGAGCTTGGCTTTTTTTTTTGGTTTATTTCATTGTTTAGTTAATTATTAATTTCATCCAAGTAAAAATGAGAATTGAATAATGACATTTAGGATATTCACTAGCTAAATGAGCCTTGAGTTTAAAAAGTGTTCCATGATTCCAGGTTTTTGGATTTACAAGATGCTGAGTAATGCCCTTTTACTCTCTCCATACATCAGACACAGGACATCCTGGAGCTAATTCTTGATTATTGTTAAATGAATTTTCAGATATATTATCTAAATTTAATGTTTGTAAATTCATATTATATGATGATGATTGAGAAGGAATTGGTGAATTAGAATTTGACATTATAAATTTCTATTTTTTTTAATTTACTCTTTGAACCAAGAATGTAAATGATTTATTTAATATTCACAAAATAATCGGGATTTCATCAAATTCCTCAAAGTGTAGAAATCCTATTTTGTCACATTTATTTTTGTCATGTGATGAAAAGGAGTCATTTTGTCACCCAACCTTGGCTCCAGTATGAACTTCTGAAATTGTTTTTCACTTACCACCTAAGGACTTTAATGAATGAAAGGTTTCAATGAAACGTTCCAAATGATTCCAAAACTGAGGTCTCGCCAGCAACCTTTGCTCAGATACTGAGCTGTGTTCTCTACAATCAAAAGAATTGCCAGTCTTTAAGTAATTGATCATCTTTTGTGGCTTGCTGTACCATTATTCAGACCCAGATGTATGGTGCTTCAAAATATTCCTCGGCACTATCTCCTATTCTTTCAAATCGAATTAGTCCAGGCTGAATGAAGGAATTTTCTGTATTGGGACATATTTGTTGTGATCCAAGAGTGCTTTCTAGCCAATATTAATCGTGCAAAATAGTCTGGACTTCTAAACAGTGATATTTAGAGCATCTTCACAGTGACAGATAAGATTAGTACATAAATTATGCATCAAATTATCAATTTTCTTTGTCAAATGATCACAAAGTCTTTAAAATCAATTTCTTATCGCATGTTTTTCTTTATCAAGAGTATTTATTATATTAATAAAATAATGAAATATTTAATGGCAGATCATTCAACAAAGTGGACAGAAACGATTTAAACTCCAAAAAAGTGTTAAATCATGATTTTATATGTACTTCGTCACGAGGATTAATTTTTTCAAGTGGATATGGTTTCTAATCTAAGATTAATGATTTCCAAGTTTTTGGATCGTGACCAACCAGTTTTATTATTAGTCAAAATTATATATGAAATAGCAATTCGATTACCTTTTTTGATTTATACAAAAGAATTTGTGCAATCGATGAGTTGTTTAATTGCTGATTATCTAACTGTTGAAAATAATGAACATCTGTTTCATAGCAATTGTGCAAATAGAAAAAAACTCAATGTTATCGTATCTATTTTTTTTCTTTGCCTTACTTTGGGGGATGTACAAATTATTGTTGCTGAAACAAATTCTCTGGTTCATAGAGGACCATCAATTAAAATGCAAAATTCTAATAATACTGATATACTTTTGTGGAATAGTTTTTCTTCTCTAGACAATAATTGGCATCTTAATAGTTGCAGTGTAATTTATCATTATGATTTAATAGTTTATTATATGTTATCATCAAAAAACGAGATGTTGAACTATTGATATACAATATATGGTAAAAAAGGCAGAGATAATTACATCATACCGATATGCCCAGAAATCATTCTAGAAACATGAGATATATATGACATAATAAATCTTGGAAAGATCTGTAATTTAAACTCTCCTTTTTGCTGATACACTTTTTGCTGATACACATATTAAATTTACTAAATATGGTAACGATTTCCCTTTATAATAAATAAAACCAATTGATATGGGCCCCATTGGCATTTTGATCAATCCTAATGATGTAATCTTAGAAATCATGCTTGAAATTTCTCTTTGTTTTCCTGCTTGTCACACCACCTTACATGGGTGGAACAGGACTGCGAAAACTATAAGAGATAGATCACTACCGCAGGGTCAATTCTCATATATACTAAAAGACCTAAAAAGATTTTCCTCGATCAGCAAATCGCGGTGTGGGGTTAAGCTTTATTATTATATATATCAAACCATGATTTTTTCATTATTATATAAATATACTAATATCACTTTAATGGTTTATTTCATTTATAATATAGTAGTAGATGTTGATATTGTAAATCAGTTGTCAATCACCATTCCTAGAAATGTAAGATAATGCAAGAATAAAAAAATAGTTTTTAAATGTTCACTTGTATGTATAATACACAAGATTTCTTTTCTAATTAATTTTTTATTATTTATTTTTCATAAATATTCTTTTCCCGCGAACATTAATAATTTAAATATTATTTAATAATAAATTATAACATTATTGATTTTCTTAACTGTTTGTTCTATTAGCTGTTAGAATATTGGTGACAATCGGTCTTCTTTCTGGAATAGGATTCAACATATCATGAATCAATCCATTCAATGAATCAGATACACCACTCAAATCATATTCATTCAGAATCCCATTCCTTATTTTCTGATAATCCGATCCATAATGAGGAAGTGTAACTTTAGTACTCAATTCTAGGATTATCAAGCCAAAACTAAAAATATCAGCCGGCTTATCGTTTCTGGACTCGGATAAAATTTCACCAGCCAAATAGACACGGTCTCCTTCTTTATCAAATCCCATACGAACTGGCCAATGTGTTGCAAGTCCAAAATCTCCAATCTTGAGTCTATCATATTTTGTAATGAAGACATTTCCAGGTTTGAGATCATTATGTATTATATTACTTTCATGAATATGTTTAAGGCCCTAAATAAATTAATAAAAAAATATTATTATTTATAAATTATTTAACGTCATTAATATATTAATTTGTTTATTTTACCATTGCAATATCGTTAATCATTTTCCAGATTTCTGACTCAGGAAGTTTGTTCTCTTTGTAATTCTTTAGGTAATATTCCAAACTGATATAATAATAATAATAATAATAATAATAATAATAAGTAATTATAATTATATTCATAATAGTCAATTAATTATCAATTAACCAAAATAAAAACAATTAATTCATTAGTTTACACATACGTGCCATGTTCACAATATTCAGTCTGAAGGTATAAATAACCTTCTTGTTCCCAGGCAGAGATTAATTCTAGACAATTTGAATGTTTTCCCAATTTCCATAAAATTTCAACTTCTTCAAGTTTATCTTGTCTATCACAAAGATTTTTAAATGGTCTTTTAGCCTTTTTGATCACATATGTTTTACCAGTTTTATCTCTAACTTTGAATGCTTCTGAAAATTCACCAAATGCCTTAGCTAATGTTTCATGTGTCTCTTTAACTATTCCTCCATTTGATTCATCATTTATAAATTCTTGGAATGATTTATTATGAGTATCTTTTCTATTGATTCTATACACAAGTCTTGATGCCAATATCTCAGCAAATTTAATAATGGGAAAAAGATGTTTAACCTGTGATAATTTTTCAGAGTGTTTAAAAAATATTGAAAGAAATGGATATGTTTTATTGTTATTGATTTGATCAGCAAGGTAATATGCTCTAAAACTTTCAAAGCTTATTGTTCCTATTGTTCTCCAAAGATTTGGTAAATATTCAACTTTATAGTTATTATCCATATCTATAGTCTGATTAATTTCCGATTCAATTATATTAGCATTTCCATTAGCTCTTTTTAATCCTGCATCTAATTTTCTATGGAAATTTGTAACAGATTCATTAAAGCTTTTTGTTTGTGGCTCAACATAATCTTTAGTAAATTGTAATTCCCATTCATCCTGTTGAGCAGGGGTTGTAATTATTAATGGACCACCAGTAAAAAGTTTTTTTGACATTTCTGTTAGAATTGAATGTAATAGCAATGCTAAATTTTCATCATTGCAATTGAAAATATTTTTAAGTACTTTCCAGTCATTCTGTATATGTCTAAAGCAATATTCTTCAATATTACTGGCAATTTGTTTTAAGAAATCTTTAGCACTATTTGAAGAACCAATCAATGCATGAACAATTAAATGTAAGATGCGATACGCATTTGGTGGCATAGTACGAACTGAATAGTCAACATTATTAGATTCATCCATAACTGTTACATTTTGACTTGCACCTTCAATTGTATTGCTTTTACACTGTGGACATTTATTTGCTTCTATTGCTTGACCACAGTTTACTATAAAATATTTATAACCACACTGACATAAATATCTAAAATTATTAAAAAATTATTATTATAATTATCATCATCATAATGTTAAATAAATAAATCTGAATTTTTACCTTGTTAATTTTAATTGTTCAGTTTGTACTGTTAAAATATAATACATATGACAATTTTGTATATTATTTAGATAAACAGTTAATGGTGATGAGTCTGCAGGAATTGATGAATGTAAGATTACAATATGTCCAATTACAGATTTAATCAACAAAGTTTCATTTGTTGTCCTAATGTTTAGTTGAAGTAATGGCTGTTTATTTTGTATAATATTGTCAATTATTTGTCTATAAAGTGGTGTAAGCATCATCATTCCATTAATTTCAGTTTTAAGATCTTCACTGGCATTATCATAATCAAGAGTCCATTCATCTGATGCATGAACTAAATGTATACGTTGTACAACTACACCACCAAATGCAATTCTATGTCCTATTGACTCATTTTTTTCTACAGATTGTAGGAAGGTCTTAATTGGTGCTTTATTTTTAAGTGAATATAAACTAGAAAATCCTTTATCAGCTTCTGCATACATATCTAAGGCCCAGTAAGGATTAAATGGAAGTCTATTTTGAGAATGGTCTTCCCATACAATGCTTGCAAGCCATGGAAATGTATTATTTAGCCTATTACAAAATTGTTTTAAATCATTGAGTGAAAGATTGTGCCGATTATGTAAAATTCTTAGAAAATATATTTTTAATGAGTGGATTAATGGATTTGGTATGCTCATAAAATTATTAATTTGTTACAGTCGTTGCAGAATACTTGGTTGGTGTCTGGCAATACAACATGTGACTTTGACATCATAAACTCTTTTAAATTTGCAATGTTTCAAAAATTATGTTGATCATGTATAATCAACACGTTTACGAAGGAACATTAGTTTATTTCTTTTA